TTATGCAGTGCGAATTGTTCTGATGCTAAAAGGGAATTACGCTCATAACGTGTAACGAGTCCCACAGAGAGCAAGAGTCCGTGAGAGCACGAGTACACCCTGTACGCAGACACACAAAGGCGCACACACTCAAACAGACACACACTCAACATCTGTGTTGTTGTTGCTCTGCTCTCCAGTGGATAGGCCTGGCGTACTAGTGCTGGAGGTGCTGGAGGTTCAAGAGGAGTGCAGCATGCAACTGGCGCTCTGTGAGCACCACCAGCCCCCCGGAGAGGGCCACCAACACAATGACCCTGTCTCTGAGGAGAGAGCTCGTATGCTGGTGTTATTCAACAGAGAGACCGCAGCCCAGCTGATCCCTGCATCCAGAGACATCATCCACATATATCCACCATGGTGAGAGCATGCGATACATGATGACTTTTAAAGTCCTGCTATTGAATGGATGAGTGTGCAGAGTTTGACACTAGAAGCCCATTTTCACATTCATCTGCTGAAAAAGGAACATGTCTCTGTGCTCACCTTAAAATGAACATACAGGCAGGATTTTGTCACCAGTTTGGAAGCCAGTTATGATCCGGCATACAGCTTACAGAAGTGTGATGCGGAAACTTGAAATCTTACGGATACACTGAGAATGGACTTGGACAGTGACATAGGAGACATCTTGTGTCCAGTAGTTAAATTGCATATATTCATTGATTTTTTTTCAGTGAGGAAAAGATATTGGGCACATTGTTATTCAAAGCAGACCACCTTCCATAAATTGTGTCTGGAGGGAACATTTAAATGAAAATCACATTTTGAATGAAGACTGAATCAGTTCCTCTGCAATTCAAGATGTGTTTCATGCTGTTAAAACAATTATTACTGCAGTTAACAGTTATTTTTATTGTTAGGTCTATGAAATATCTGAAAGTAATGAAAAATGCACATTACAGTTAAGCTGAGATGCCATCTTCAACGTGCTTTTTTTTGACCAACCAACAGTAAAAACAAACAAACAACACGTTACCTGATATACCTGCTGTATCTAAAACAGCACTGCTGATGTGTAGGGTTATACATTTTCTGTGAAGGATGAATATAATACTGGGCAGTGAAACCCATTCTTGCATTTCCCTGTTGTCAATTTTTAACTACGACTTGGCAGTCGACCAAAAACTACACCAAAAAACCACAGTTACACAATACAAGACTGACTCACTACCTGCGGAACAAAGAGTGACAGGATCTCACAAAATAATGCTGAGGAGGCATACTGAAAGACAGAATACTACACATGAATATATGCATAAACTCCTGAAATTATTTTGGGGTTTTAAGTATAAAAATTTACTTTTCTCAGCTCACATCAGCAAGCAGAAGAGACCCAGATGTGAAGAACAGTCCCTCACGTACAGGGCAGAGAGAGTGGGAGGTGGGGGCGTGTGTTTTTCGGGATTGTTTTGGAGTTGGAGCGAGGCAGCAGTTGACTCCAGCTGTTGGGAGTTTGGGTTGAGTGTGCTCTGGAATATCCAAGCTGGCGGAAGCGGAGGGGCCTCCTCAGTGCTCTGACGTCACAAACAGCTCCAGGGAATGCTTCACATTCCTCTTCCTGGCAGTAGTTAGGTCATTTCCAGCAAGCCGGGGAAAAAACACAGTAGGATTATTTTCTGGAGCATTTGGGAGCAGAGAGTGGAGGGAGCCAAAGGACTTAGATTGAAAACACATGGCGGTTTGAGAGGATCTCTGGCTTTAGCACCTCTCCTTCCCTGTTGTATTCTATTCCTGAAATCACACAAAAGGGTAGAGCCCCCACCAAACACAACCATTTACTCTTTCAAATAATTATTTTTCATCTGAATAGGCATCCTTAAATCCTCTTTTGTTTGTGTAAATTACTTTCAGCAGTTACAGCATTTGGTCTATATTTTAAATCAATCAGTATTCTAACTCAATAAAAACTCCATAAATCATTACAAAACAATCATAACCGAAAAAAGCTGAAGACAAGCTTAATACCCTCTTGAGAGATATTCATTCATTTGAGCTCCCAAGAAAGTGGAAAAACCCGGAATTTAGAGCATCATTGCGTCTGGTAAAATTCCTCTTACCAGTTTCCGGTGTGACACTCAAGGGGTTAGCCTCCTCCAGGATTCTTGCAGTGAGTAGGTTGGCTCCTCCCACCTCCCACGCCTTGTTGTGAGTGGGCCGTGGCCTGAGCGGAAATACCTGCAGGTGTTATTCACTAAAGCGCTGTGACGCAGGCAGCCGGGGCCGCTCCTTAACCTGGCTACCTGTCTGATGATGACAGCTGCCCACTCACCTGTTCACAATGGGGCCGCGCTTCCTGTACCTGTTCTCGTGAACAGTACGTTCCGCTCTGCTAACATAACTGTATGGTGTTCACTAATAACTGATCTGTGATCAGATCTTGGACTGATAACGGTGCCTGTCAAAGCTTAATCATAACATGAGAAGAAGTCAGCATTACTGTGTGCAAATATCAAAGGGGGTCGAAGAAGTACTCACGTCATATACTTAATAAAAGTAGTAATACCACACTATCAATACACCCCATTTCAAGTAATAGTCAAGTGAATTTACTTATTGACTTAATTAAAAATGTAGTGGAGACACAGTACTGATTAAATATACTTAATGTAAAGACACCACTGAATTTCAACAAAAGTTTCCATTCCATTAATAGTAATTATTCATTAACATTACGTAGTTATTCATTGCACCATTTTAAACAAATTATTTAGTTTCAAAAATGGTGAAAATTCTGACTAGCGGTCTGTATTTATTTTATAATATGATTTACAGATAGACAAGAAGATTTTAGCGTCTAGTTATTTATTGACTGTCTGGATGTCAGTGGTTTAGTTTCAGTTGATTGACTAATAGGTAAGTAATCCAAGTTTCTGCACCAGCATGGTAAACACATACAGTGCCAGGAACTGTATGTACAGTTAAACGCAATAAAGAACAATAACCCTGCAAATAAAAACATTACCTTCGTGAAGATTGGATCAGAATGTTTATTTAGACAGCCTCAGGTGATGATTTAACTCGTATTATGAGGTCGGTGTTAAAGCCAAGTGCTTGCTCATGGTGGGAATCGTTGGGTCTCTGTAAATAATTGTATTAGCAGTACGGTCTAGACCTGCTCTGTTTCAAAAGTGTTGTGATTTGGCACTATACAAATAAAATGTAACGTAACTGAAATTAATAGTTTGTTCAACTGTTTGTGTAATGGTTTCCACCCTCTGTCTACTTTGAGTGACGTACATTTTGAACATGTACTTAAATACCTATATTTTGAATATATAATGATGTCGATAGCCAATTATTAATAATGCTCGTTTTATTTGTAAAAGGACACAATATTTAGATTTACCCATTCATATCAATGAGCGTAGACTAAATATTAGAAGCACCTGTCAGTATAATGCAATACAATTGAGTAAAATGAGGAACTACAGCCTCTATAATGACCATAAAATGTAATAAGGAGCTCCCTCAAACAATTTTAGTGAAGACTGAACTTAACCGTCAAAAAGGTCATGTTAGACTGCATTTTGTTTTAGCCAGCTGTACCTAAAACCCACAACTGAGTATTGTATATAATAATTCGGTTTCTGAATAATCTCCTCCTTTCTGTTTTCATTGCAAATCCAAACAAATTTTTTTATTAAACACTTTATCTGTTTATCTGCGTTTGATTTCTCCGGTTCAACTATCACCACAGGTTTGAGACGAGCTGTGACATGTACAGCAGTTCCAGTCACAGACTGCGCTTGGCTCTGAGTCAGTGATAAGCCATCATCACACTATTATCCATGTAACAAATGTGGAAAGAATTAAGTCGTAACTCAAACTTGTGCCGTATAATTATCTCTCTGTTACTCAAGTTCTTTTATTCTCAGGCTCAGTACCACTCAGGTGTGTGACATTTTCTTTAATGAGCTAAAAGCACATAAACAGAAATGTTTTCCTTCGATTTTATGGATAAATTCACCGTCTCCTTCTTGGCACACACAGATTAGTGAAAGCTGAGCCGGTAACGGTTCAGATTAAACACTAGCACAGGAGCATTTCAGGTTATACACATGCCGTCTTTGCATTCGATTTGGTGTTTTTCATCAGCGTACTCTCAGCATGTTTGATTGTGACGGGCGGTGAAGTATTTTTCCACAGATGATGTCACGTTTGGAAAGTGTTTTAATCAAGCTGTGAAGCGCTGTGAGGTACAGCCTTTTAAGAACCTCGGTTACATGGAAAATGTATCTTTTTACCTCAGTAAAAGAGGACAAATGCATCCGTTGTGTATTTTCACTTGCCTTGGAGGAGGTTAACGTATTTGAACTTGTACTCAGTGCTGGTTGCTACCTAGTGAACAGACCTGTGGAGGTGGTTGGTACCTTATCTGAGTTTGACATTCAAACCGTCTCGAGCTCTCGCCCCCCTACGTTTGTGCAATAATCTACTCCATGTAATGTACTGTCAAATGTAAGTTTTTACATCTGTTATCAACACAATCACGAAACAAACACTTGTATTATTGCCCAATACCTTAAATATGTTTAATTTCATGGTGAAGGTCCTCAACTCAATTCTTTAGCACCATTCAATCGCAAAGTCAGGTGTAACACTGAAACAACTGCCATACCCCGAATCTAAAACTAATGAACTTTATCTCTTTGCAGGCAAAGTCTCTCCATAGAGGGTGTCAGCTATGATATTATTCTGAACACACACTTCAGCCAGAAAGTCTACTCTGCTTCCAAACAAGCCAACATGTCCACTCCTAGAGGCCTGCACTCAGCAGAGAGGTGCAATGCGTATTCTCTGTGTAAAACGTTTGGACTGCTAGAGGTATGCAGGACCACAGAGGAGAACAGTGCCAAACAGGTGCGTATGCTTCGATGTCATTAGAATCAAGTGCATTGCATTTACTTCCAAATTCAAAATGTACTGTATTCAGCACCGTGAATGATCATATAAGACAATTAATCGAACCAAATCAAAACAAATTTTATTTTTTTTATTATGTAGTTATACATAATTAATTATCCTTAAATTCATATTAAATCATGAGTGCAACCATGCAAACATCAGTTTCACTTTACAATACTTTTACACAAAGAATAATGAGCAGTCTCAATGGAGCGTTCAGCCCACATCAGTCACTAACAGGTGCATTCAGTCTGTACTGGGGATATATTATAAGTGGTTGGTTTACATGTATGTTTGATTTCCTCTGAATCTCTGTTTGTTTTGAGCTAATACAAATAAATTAACCAAGTACTGCTGGCAGCTATTGAGCCACTGGCCACAACCTCTTTTCTCTTCTCGCCATGATTTGTGTTGACAGCCAACTAAATGCAAATGACTGTGTGGTGCCGTAAACTGTAAGTGAAATTAGTATGTATATATACATAGAGTATAAGCTCATGGTATGATGTAGTGCTGAAACAATTAGTCAATTAATCAACTAGTTTACCAACATGAACTGTTTTGATTTCATATTAATGGTGCCAAATAATTTACGTTAAGTACATTCTCCTTTTCCTCTCTTTGTCCCCTTCAGGTTGCTGCCTCCGATGCTCTGTGCAGATTTGGAGGTTCTTCAGGAGTTTTCACACGACACTGCCTTTCTCTCCTGGAAGCTATCGAGGGACTGGGCCAAGCTGGCTCTGTGGGGCAGGACGTGGAGGTGGTGGTTCAGAGAGTTTACTCAATCCCTGTGCCTGACTGCTCTCCCATGTCCATCCTTAAGCCTAGACTTCCCTCCAGGTCCTCTTCAGCTCCTCCTCCTGCAGAAAAAGGCAAAACCAGGTACTGTTGGACTAGCTGATAATCACTGAGGCCTTTGGTTTGTCACTTGATGCCAAAAGAGAAAATTAATTGCATTTTCTGTAAAAAAAAAAAAAAAAAAAGCATGCTGGTCTTCTTGGTCTCAGGCCTTACATGCTTCTCCTTGGTGGCACAATGTGTATCTCAGCGGTCGAGCTATTGTTCACAGTACAGCAAGCCCCACAAAGTGCTCACACTGTCTCCAGCCATATGGCATTGTTTGACAAAGGACACAAACATTTCTAATTGAATCCAGCCGCTCTGTGAGCGATTCTGGCCAATTCCCGGGAAAGACAACATGATGTTTTCAGAATATCGTGCACCAGCAAGCCAGAGTTGAATTGGTGCCCACTCATACTCCACTGGGTGGAACAGGTTTGCAACAGCTTTTATTACCTTAATGCTCAAAAGGAAACCGCAAGTGTAATTTATATGGGTGTAAAAATGACAAAAAATATAGAGTTGTGTAGAATGGGGTCAGATTCTCGTGAAAGTGAAGCCCATACACTGTATTGATATTGAAATTAATCAATGAAAAATAATGAAATTTATAGATCTGAAATTATGGTCAGTCTTCTTTGTCATATGCAAAACTGAATCTGGGTTTTTGACTGTTGGTTGACAAAAAACCCACGTTGGCCTTGGGGAATTTTTTATCTGCCACAACAGCGTGTGACTGGTATTGTTTTCAACTTGTGTGTGTGTGTGTGTGTGTGTGTGTGTGTGTGTGTGTGTGTGTGTGTGTGTGTGTGTGTGTGTGTGTGTGTGTGAGTGTGTGTAAGTGTGTCATCGTGGCAAAAAAGACAGCTACTGTAGTGGGATGTACCACAAAAGTGGTTTTAGTACTATGCCAGGTGTTTATTTATTTAGGTCTGTCAGTCTCTGCTGTCTGTGGACTGACTTCTTTCACAGAAATGTACAGGCGTGTAGTTGAAGGCCGTGTTTGAAGATGGATGTGGTCTGAGTACAAGTGCTGCAATTAGGGGGTAGGAATTGGGGAACTAGGCACTCTATACAAAATTATTACTGGCTGCAATACTAAAATAGGTTAACTTGACCCTGCGAGGACGGTTAGGCATATTGAATAAATCTGGCACAGTTCACCTGTTTGACCAAACTCTTTTCATGGCATGTGTGCTATGCACCATATACACCGATTTGGGTGATATTATCCCATTGCAAGAGGATTTTTTCTGACATTTTAGAAAACAATTAATTGATTCATGAAGAAAATACAATACAATACAATTGACATATTATCACCTTATAAAGTTAGGGCAACAAAACAAACAAACAATTGCTTATTGACACATCCAATAGACAAGGAAACACATTAGTATTCACTGGAGTCATGTTATGGCTGCTTGGTGAATGCAAATCCGATATTCAAACTCCTCTTTGTTTATTTCTTTCTCCACACTCTCCTGAAGGAAATATCTGACTCTTTTATCAGCTAAATGTTCTACTATGTTCATCAGCTAGTCAGTACCTTTGCCTGTCTGCCACTGTAGCGTACTCTAGTGTACAGTGGGTTTTGTCTGACTTGTTTCACTGAAAACGATGCTGATAAGAACCAACCAAACAGTGTAGTTGTGTGCTGTAAAACCGAAACAATGAGCTGAAAGACACTAAAAAGCTCAGTAGAGCTGAGGGGGAACTGGAGTGTTGAGTGATAACGGTCTGTAGGTCTTTATGAGCGACCCATTTCACATTCCACTTTTTTGTTGTTGATATGAAGATAAGAAATCCCAATTATCAGTTTTTATTGTGATAAAAACAACTAAAGACTATAAAACAAGTGCATATTTTTTTTTGTTATTTTTCTGCAGAAACGCAACAATAGTGAACTCTTATTGAAACACCTGCAGTTTGAGCTGTGTTATTGAAATGGCTTACAGGTTTATTCGAGTGGTCTTCTTGTTATGGTTAATGAATCAGTGAATGTTCTATTTGGAGTAAATCCAGCAAGCATGACCTTTAGTTGCCTGGGCCTCCTCAGGCTTGTTGTTTTTATCCTTTGCTGAGTAATAAAAGAAAAGTATTGGTTTCTCTGAGCGCAGAGGCCTGAAGGGCTCTCTGGTGAAGGGAGGAGAGCCCCGGTCAGCTGACAAGCCAACTGACTAAATGAGCATCGGTTGTAATATGACACTTGCTCCTGCCATGCAGCTTCTGCAGCTGGTAAACAAACGCCGCCCTCTGACCGGAAACACTCCTGCCCTTCCCTCCGTTTCTCTCTAACTCAACCAGATTCAACAGGCTTGGTTGGTAGTAAAAGGATGGAGGTGGGGCAGAGGTTTAAGAGGTTATCACGAGGACTTGAGGTCAAAATATCTGGGTGACCCTGCTTTCTTATTGTGATAGATTTGATCATTGTCAAGTAAAGTTTTTTATCAAAGACCTAAATTTGTATTATTTTTCTACCCTTTTCTACATTTTAGAATAAGAGAAGAAAATAGTTTCACTTTTTACCATCTTGTTTATTCTAAAATACAATAAGGTAACTAAGTGTCTAACATTTTATCACCTTTATGCCTTTTTATGGGAGGTTTTGGTTTGAATTGCTGCACAGAAACAACAGCTTTTTGTACAATGTGCTGCTTATAGTACTTTTCCAGGATGCATGCCTGCTCTGTGGAGAGAAGGGTAGTTTACTTGGCAGCCCACTGGCCCCATTCTGAATAAAGACAAGGACAGTTTGTACCTCTCATGTTGTGTCCCCAGCCACTATGACTCACTCCCCTGGTCAGCATACTTATTTGATCCTTTTGTTGTTTAGCCTCTGTGTTAACACACACATGGGAGAGACGCCAGTATGATATTTATGCCTGAAGAAGATGTTAAGTTCCCGTAAATTCAGAATAGAATAAACAAGAAGATTAACTGTTTGCAGGAAGTGAGGAGAGGCTAGTTGGTTTTTTTTTTTTCTTGGTGGAGAGGGAACACAATGTGCTGCAAGGATCCTGTTACAACCATGTTTATCACTCTGCCTGCACTGATTGGTGGACAACACATAGGAAGGAATCCCGCCTGTCCGCCCCCCACCAATGAGGCCTCTCTGCTGTATCCTTAATGTGTGGGTCACTTACTTAGAGTGTTGCCAAGTAATGTGCATGTGCGTGGGCTAGCATGCGCACACAGTGTGACTTTGTGTGTGTGTGTGTGTGTGTGTGTGTGTGTGTGTGGGTGTGGGGGGGGGGGGTATGTGTGTGTGTGTTTGCTCAGGCTCAGTGGATCGTAGTTCCTGGAAGAAAACCTGAGTTGCTCAGAATTCTATGATCGCTCACAATAACAAATTCCTGAAAATGGCCTGTGACTGAAACTGGCCAATGGCAGAGGATTTTTTGGGGAGTGAAGGATCGCTGTTTCAGGAAGTGGGGGTGAGGAAGAGGGGGTGTTAACGGCTAAAAAGAGGGACTGGGTGTTGAGGTGGTTGTTTGTGTCAAGCTAGTACCACCATGTGTCTCATCACCCGTTTCTTTTCTATCTGTCAAGTGGCATATCGGATTTTTTTCCCAAGTTCAGACAAGCTCAACTAAAAGTGAAAGTGTATATATATTCACACCAAATGTGACTAGCAGCTGTATTCATATAGTGGGCATAACCAATATTGATTTAGTGATTCAGCCTCTTTCCTGAGTTTTCCTGATATACCTGATTCCTCTGTATGTAATCGTCACAAACATTCCTCCATTATTGTTGCACCAAATGTGTATTAATCCACAGCAGAAAATAGTCCCCAACAAATGCACACATTTGCCCCGTTGAGTAATGATTGGTACAACGATTAGTCAATACATTGTTTAGTCAGGCGTGTGAAAATGTCCTGCTTTTCTGTGTTTTACATCACTCCAAATTTAATGTCTTTGGTTTTTGGACTGTTGGTTAAAATAGTTTTTTTTTTTTTAAACATATCATTACCTGACTGTGCCAGAAGGTTTGTTTCCACAGAACCATTTAGGAAGTCGTCATTTGAAACTGTTGGCAGGTGATTAGAGGAACCATGATCACCATGTCTATCATCGCCTATCATGGCCAAAATTCAACAAATAAGATAAACAAACCGTATAACCGTGTAATCTTATCGCAGACAGTTGGGGAAATAGTCCAAACTGTCGAGGAAAATTCTTCCCATTTGATATAACTGATGCTAGCAGCATCTTTGCTAACCTCTTTAGCAGTCACTTCTCTCACACACGTTATCACACACACCAAGTGTTAAACCATGTCTGTAGCTGCCAGTATAGTTCATCATAGGACGCTGATTGGTCTGAAGTTTTGTATGACAGGGTTCATTATAGGACAGTAGCCTTTTACTGACTCTAAATATACTAAGTAATGTTTTTGTGTTTTGAAAGATTGACAGAGTGTTTTCTTGTGTTGGCCAACATGTCCTTGCTTTGAATACATTGCTCCGGGCTGGGGTCTGTTCACTTTGCTTTACACTTTGAAATTGAACATTCACATTTACAGCTCTATGAACATAAAACCTTCAGAATTTTTTTTTGTCTCACTTTTGTTTTGTATGTTCAACATTCCTTGTTGTTTTAAAAAATATGTACTTTACGCCTGACTTTGTATTGTGAATAAAGCAAACAACTGAGAATAATCTTGGTTAAAACACTGGCCCACACCACTAAAAGTAATGTCAGGAATGTTATTTAGATATCTATTTCTAGGTCTCTCAAAACAAACACAGACAGACCCCATGTTTACCAACAGAAGACATTTATAGGCCCAATCAGGTGGTTGAAAACAGTCTCAAAACTTTCCCAATGTCTGCGATGTGCACATGCATGCACATGCATGATGGGCATGCTGACAGTCCTCCTTCTTCCCTGTTTTTCTTCCTCCTGCTCCTCCTCCTCTTCTTCTTCCTCCCTGGCCGTTGCTTGTCTCACCAAGGGATATGAACTCTACTGTTTACTCTCAGGGCTGGTACAGGGCTGTGTCTGGGCTTGACTGGCTGAGAGCTGGAGCCTATAGCAGTTCCAGCTACTCGCTCACTGGGAGCAGCAGAGTGCAGGCATACACAGCAGTTCACTGCCTCACAACTGTGTAGGCCAAAGGGCTTTTCTGTCAGCAGCAGCCTGTCAAACCAGCCACCAGCATTAACACTTCCAAATGTCAGTACTAAGCCCTAACTGTGTATCGTTAGTGTGTCACTGGGAGCAGTGGTGTTTGATTCCTATAATGCTAAATTGTATAAATGGTCCATTGTTTTCATGAAACACATTGGAAATATCTGATTTAAAATAACAATAA